GGCAAGTGGCCCCAACTGAGCATAGTGACAATGCCTTTACTTTTACTTAATATCTGCTATTCAGATATTTGTTTAGACGCGAAGTAATTTACGCGGTTTTAGTGTTATTATTTTGGAAGTAGTTTAACTTTTAAGTAATCGAAGCGTTGTGTTACTTTTCTTTCATAAACAAATTATGGTGTATCGATAAAAATGTCGCAAAAAATCGATCAATGTGCTTCGATCATTTGAACTCTACGCCCAACGAGGATAATTCAATCTAAGGATAACGTCTCTTCCCTACCAGTTCTGTTGAGTTACTATTATTCTGCTAATCCTATGTGACCTGTGTACAAACGAGATTTTGACAGCTTAAGTTAAATCACCCCTTGATTATGTATTCTTCGTGTCTTTAAACCTTGATGGTCCTTTCCTTGGTTACATTTTTCTTCTTGGCATAATAAAGAAATACATTTTTAAAAATTCCTTCCTTCGACTATTAATTATTTATCGCTATATGCTACGAATAGAATAATCTATTTCTTTTGCGTTTCGATTTTCGTGCCTTTCTAGATCTACTGTTTATAATGTTTTCTCATAATTTGTATCCCGGGGGCTTACTCCCTAAGCAATTCTAGGCAATTGGTTAGTAGACAATTTTTCAACTCGTCTCGGGTAACAACAATGCACGAAGTATTGGGTGGCATGACGCAATGTCTCCAACGACTGACTTGGCCGGAAGGAGGTTATAAACTCATAAGCAGGACAACTAAATAATAGGCATTATTGTTCACCTACGAATGTTCAGACATGCTAACATAAAAAATCTTGTTTACTCAACAAGTCTTCCATCGAGCAAACTCAAAACTTGTCTATCCTCCTTTGCAATAAAAGGACAGTTGTATCGAGCCGATCAGTTAAGAACGATTGTCATAAAGACTGCTGTATACGCGAGTAGCACACATTTAAACAAAACGGTTTAAAACGCGATACGTATTAGTTAAAGTTATTTACAAATTATTTTCACGAGGGCTACAAGTTATAAAACACCTAGGATCCTATTCTCCCGTGACCGTTGCAATACATCCGAAACGTCGAGCCGTAGTTAAAATAATTTCGCGTTGTAAACCGGTTGTAGTGTTATATTTAAAGTATTGTAGGTATTTTGCCAACATGGTGGAACTTAGCTTTGACCACTCCTTCGATCTGAGACGGTATTAAGTTGAATCTTTTGTTATGAACGCTTTCCGTGAAGCGTTAAGTTTGTCGATTGTAAGATTTACACTTTTCTCTTTTATTTACAAGAGTGAAAATATAACAATATGTTTACAAACAAGAGGAACAACCACTTAGGATTTATTGGGTTTTTCTCAATGATCAGTGCGTTTACGATGAATAAGCAGTAATTGGTTAATTACATACAAATCAGAATATTAGAACGAATACCTCGAAGTTGTGTCGAAGTCGAGTAATTAAATCGCAGTATCTATTTAATTTTTCATGCCCTAATTCCCTCCATTAATTATGCATGAATCATTTTCCACGTTGGTTCTTATACGTTTATGTAGAACGTGTCTGTTCTTATAAACAAAACATAACACTATCAAATGGCTATTCTCTAAGATTAAAAACAAAAATTAACGCAACGATGTAAGCGGCTTAAGATAAAGTGATAAAAAAATATAAGTATTGTCACCGCACACAACCGTTTATGAAAATATAATGCCATACTTTTATATATGTATAACGATTATGTGAATTATAAACACATACGTAGGCAGAATTGTTGTTGCTTTATCAAAACTTGATAAGAGGTTCCTCACATCTTAAACAGACCTAGAGTTGAAAATGGAAGGTGTAAGCTTTCCTATCTCTCTATCTTCAAGTTGAGTTCTGACAGAAGTTTATGGCCACGCCAACTCGCGACTTAATATAGGAAGGAAGAATTCTGAATCCTAAGACAGAGTTCACAATGAAGAGATTCTATTATTGTGAAATGTTAAATACATTGCATTGCATTTACATATTCTTAGAAGAGGTATTAAATTTGTTAAGTTAAAAAAAAGTTATACTGACATATTTAGATTTGTGAACAGTCCAAAGTTATGCAACCTACTAAAATATCTTACGCAATGTTAATATTAGCGGAAAATTATTCTCATTAGAATAAATCGTTCATACACTTTTGGATAAGTATCCATAATAATAATAAATAAGTAATGAGTATTCACTCAGAATATTTATTCTGATTGTAAAACTTTAACTTTCTGTAAACAATCTGATCACGAGTTGCAAGGTATCAGTGACGGTTTATTAAATTTCACATACAGTAGCAATATCGGGATATCCTAATTGCATAGCGAAATGTTTTAATTGAAAAGCTTTCCATTTAAATGTATAGTCGCATAACAGACATGTATTTATTTTTATTTTATTTATTAATGAATAACCTTTTTTATTTGTGTGTGAAATGGCCTTACTTTGAGAATGCTGTAGGAGTGACCCTGCCCATCGTATGTATTATGTAGTTTTATCATAATTGACAAACGTTCAAGTCCTCACCGTCAGTAATTCTAGAAGGACCGCGATCCTTGTCTCCGGGCAATTTCACACTTCTGAGGTCAAATGTTATTAGGTCAGAGGAGATAAAAGGGAAAGGAATTTTGATGGCAATCTAGATCCAGATTCAGCAAGGACGTGTGTGGACCGTCCTGTTTAGCGAATATGTTACTATTACTATGAGAGTTTTCTGAGTGCAACGATTTTCTCTAGAAAAGATTTAGTTGAGGAGCTAAAGTGGTTAAATTTATAATTCTTTACATTGTTTCAGTCTAATAGAAACTAAATGATATTCGGCCAAAATGTTAAACTACAACTTCAATATCTTAATTCATGTTATTGAACATAAGCATACTGTTTGAGTTAGCGATACGCTACATTACGTACTAAAACCCATGTTTTGAGACCAGGTTATTGCACGACCCGTTCTTCGTAGTAGGGGGCGTTGACGTTCGATATGTTTCTAGTGTTCGAGAATTATCGAGGACACCGCTTACATAAGACAGTGTCCTAACCCGAGAGAAATACCTGACTTCCTTACAACGCTTTATAATCTCGAAATAGTTCATCAAAGGATAAACGAGCCTCGCTGTTCTAAGTGCGCTGACAAGTAAAAAATAAAATAATAAAAAAATCAACTAGATATTAGGAAATCCTCGCCATATTTCCGTTTTACTCTTTACTTTTGGAATAGTCTTACAATTACTAAAACTTGTAAGCTGACCCGCTCACCGCAATTTCTGTCTATTTCCATCAACATTCAAGTTCTTGCAACATAAAAGTTTGCACGTTCAATGATTTAATTTACAGAGCATATTCTATGTATGTATTAGAAATATGTTTGTTCCATTGAAATTATTACTACGCCTTGTCTTTTTAATTCATTTGATTGTGCCTTATCGTCTTCTTGTAATAAAGTAATAACGGCCCCAATTAACGTAAACAACGAGCTTCCCGCTACACCGAAGTGCCAATAAAACCCGCACTGATAGTGAAACAAATCGTGTCTGATTTGAGCAAGTGCTCGCCGGTTTACCTTGTCGTTAGTTAACTTTTAAATGGTCCACTGAGCCCGCTTCGACTTGGGCGCGACCGACCGACGGATCACTTTGGCACCTGATTTTTCAATTGCGCAACCGCTTTGGCAAAAAGGCTCCTAAGAGAGTGAATAACTTCGATTTGTATAACATTTCCACGCAGACGTGACAGGTTAAAGGCCTCGGTGCTAAATTTGAGTGATCCAAACTCCGTACTTGATATTACTAAGTATGTCTATTCTTTGTGCACATGGCAATAATAAATTGTCTTTGTTTCTTTGAATGTAACCTTTGACTGAGTCAAAAATGGGAAATTTCATACATTTACTATAAGTTGAAATACTGTTTAAAAGGTTCATATGAACGCAAAAGGCCCGACCGCAACAAATTCAAGACGACCGTTTGCGGTCGCATTGCTATATCGCTTACCGAACATAAAACTCGCTTTGTGTGATCGGTTGTGATTGGCATTATCGTAAATCTGAAGGCAACATGGGATTACTTAAGATATGTAATGTGCTTTTTTATTCAAATGTTCGATACTTGACATCGACTTGTCAGTATTTTTTGCCGAAAAGGCGTGATAGACTTACATTTAATATTGACCTCTGTCTTTGGAATACCAATTAGCAATCAAGGATATACACAGATACGAATAGATTATGTTTATATTCTTTGTTTTAAACTTCCTATCTTAACCGTTAAAGTGTTTTATTTAAATATTTAGCTCATAAACAACTGTGCAACAAGACACTATCGTCGTTAATGTAAAAAATATATACACAATTATTGTTGACTTTGGGTTAACAAATTAATCATCGTGAGTCTAGTCTCTAGAGTCGAGGGACAACAGTCGAGACAGCTACAAAAATATGTCTAGCAGTCGTATCGCGAATAATCAACTACCCGACTACTTCAATTTTAGTATCCTACCCCCGTTTAATTCAAATGACACTGATAAAAATAATATCATATTCGATTAACATGGTAAATCTTGCTTTCTGCTTAAACATATATTAGCAATATAGATCATAAGTATAAAAATAAAATAGCCTAGATTTTAGTGTAGTATAGCTACTTGTATAGTCACTTGGCCCACACACGATCAAAGGAAAACTGTAACACGAAGCCATATCGCCTTGTTATCCACCATCCTCTTGATCACGTTTCCCCATCCTTAGAGGTACATTAGTTTACATATTTATCATATAATCAGCATATCAAATATAATTGAGCAATTATGTAAATGCCACAACAAAAATAATAATATAAAACTATTTTTTTGCATTATGTAAAATTTTTATAAATGCATTACGTTATTTATAAATTATTTACCGATCCATCTAGTCGTCGTCTTTCGTGATATACCTAGTCAACGCATTACGACGTTCTATCTATCTCTGTCGAAAGAAAGCAATTATTTGTATGGAATATATGGCTCTTAGACAAAACCGCTTAATTGTTAATCGTCCCTATAAAGATATACGAAATTCCGAGGCGGATAAAAAGTTCACACAGAGACGTCGGAGATTAGGGTCTAGCGGCGGGAAGCCTCACGCGGAGGTAGTCCTTATCTCGACGCGTAGTGGGGCAAACTAGCACGCTCACCCGACACTTAGCGCTGTACCGTGACTCGAAGTCGCCGCAGTGCGCCCGCGCATACGATCCGACAGAACGAAATATGTCTTCGATTTCAGTGCTCAGGTGAGAACTGTGAAACAGTGAGTTTTATCTAGTGCTCGATTTGAAACGAAAAGGATTTAATTTCGTGCGAAGTGGACCGAGTTATTAAAGGTGAGTTATTAATATTATCGTCATTTTATAAGTCGTATTGCGATGTGCGGTTTCGTTTGCGGACATTTAATTGCAACACTGTCCGTCCGACGTTACTTTCACGCTGATCGGTGATCTACTTTAATTTTTATAAGTAATAATTAGTTGTATATTTTATAATTAGTTGATCCAACCTTTAATAAATTTACGAAAATGTAATAAATACTAACTATTTCACGTTTACTTGGGAGTTACATAAAAATGGTACCAATCACAATAATAAATACTACTACTAGAACTTTAATTCTATGTACCGTTTTACGAAGTAATGGGTATTTGATAAAATTCATTGCGATTTTCTAAATATTAGATTAATGTAGGAAATATAAAATAAACAACGAATGCTGAAAAACTGTTATCTTTTTTGTCTGAATATCTACGAAGCACAATCGGGAACGGTTCAAACTACTGGAGAATCTTATAATCGATAGATAGGTAATTCTTATTATTCTGGATTTAAGCTGAATAAAACTATAAACGCATATTATATTGATTCATGTTGCACTTCAGTACGTTAAGATATATATTTTTGCAATATTTACTTTATATTGCGAGATGAAACCGGATATTCCAAAACAACTAAAACTCAAATTCTTTATATGCTTTAATAGCCTCATCTCATCTGTGTAGTACCCTTTAGGAGCAATAGTTATAACTATGAAGGCGACAATCGATACATCCGTAAAATATGCAAGTTTCTCAGAGGTACACGAGTACACGAGTCCTGAGAGTCACGACATTCATACAAAAAAGTGTCATCGGAACAGCAAACAATACCTTCGAAGAGCAGGTAGAAGTTCGAAAAGACATTATCGAGGCAGACAGTAAATTGATCTTTGTGTGGACAATGGTGTCGGTATGGGCGTCTGCTATTTTGTGTCAGGCGAAACCTCTTAGCCGAATTGGTCACGCTAACAATGAGTGGGTTCGGAATTTTTTTCTATCGGACACTTGCCCTATCGAGATAGATAAACGACAAAGAAGGATTCCGATGTAGAGTTGTAAATAATGTAGTTTGTAAACTCAGCTTTACCGCAGCTAGCGTTGAGTATAACGAAAAAATATTTTCAATATGAAAATAAAATCAGAATTAAGTTTGTTCAAGAGGTTTTTAATGTCGTGATACTCAATTTTTACACGTGCCGTTGTAAATCGTTGCTCATTCTAACATTTTCCTCTAAAATGTCGCACACCAATACTTACGAATTGCCTAAGGAACCTATTATAAACAGGTAATACTAGTTCTGTTAAAGTTAGCACCTTCAATGAGAACCAGAAACAATAATTCGTATTGGCAAGTTTTCGATTAAAACTTACATAATCGATAAAGATTTTTTTATAGATTTCAAAATCGGAAATCCTTTTTTTAAAAGGTTATTTATACTTATACAAAACAAGGAACAGAAATAATTTTCTTCTTTATATATGCATTTATTGGTTTTAAGTTTTTGTAACATTTAGATAGCTATATAGTAACGGATGAAGAAAAATGTTAATCATTCTTTTTTGATTTTCAAAGCGATACACAAAGTGATTTGTAGTTAATCCGATGACCGAATCGGTTTAGGATCGACGGAACAATACTCGCTCATTTGCCACACTCGTCACGTAATGGTGTATAATTGTGACGATATAATATAATTGGGAACTAAGACGCATACACATCGATCTATTTCGAAAACGACCTCACTGTTATCAAGGCCGTATTGGAGAGTGATTGCAATAATAGAACGGCCACTTCATAACGATTAATGTGGCCGAAAATTATGACATGGCCTTTCCTAACCGGCATAGGTACTTTCCCGAAAATATCTTGATTATGTGTAGAGGAAGTAGTGCACGATTTATGAAGAGTATTAAAATGTGTTTGAATAAAACCGATTTATCATTGATTCGGATTTATCATAATTTAGTACTAAATTCCAGCTCAATTTATACTAAACATATTCAAATTGTTTAAATCGGAATATTAAATCGATGTATAACTTAGGAACATTAATATATGTAACTATTATATAAAAGATGTAAAATACCAATAAACAGGTTTGTATATAATAAGTTAAATAGAACAAAAGTGAAAAAATACCTCGTGAACTTAAGTATACAACTCGAATGCAATGGTTTGCTTGCTTTTTAATATTACTTTGAATATTCTATTACAATCCAATTTATTAAAAGTAGATATCGTTCTTTTAGTACATTTTATAAAATTGTTTTTAGTTTGCCATCGTTCGTTTCCCGCAAACTTAATTTGCTTTGTCAAAATAAACAATAAATATATTTTACGCCAAATAAAGCTTTACGCATTACGTAATTTAAAAAATTTTTACCTCAAAATCCCAGCAAAATATATTTTGAACGATTGGCGTGTATGCGTACAATAATACTACAGTAATAAGAACGTTTAAAATAGATTAAGTGAACGTTGAAACCTTGTTCATTTAATTGTCAAGGACCATAAAATAAACTTTTAATTTTAATGACGCAATTTTAGTATTTCTGCTTTGAGAAGTACATCGTAACCGATTAATTCCTGACGCGTTGGTGGCCTGTCAAACGGCAGACGAGTATTGCACCTCAAAGGAATTCTAAGTTCGGCTAACTCACGCGTTAACTCTATATTTATGTATATATAGTAATATATTGCGTTTCGTTTAAATTTTCATATTATTCCGAAAAATCAGTTTTCACGAAGTACATAAAGTAAGAACATAAGTCCACCCTAAAACCCTCGTAAATCCGGTTAATATTCTCAGAAACTGAGCTTCATTTTTTTGTTGGTTTTATAACAGGTAACACTTTAATTTTACATTTAAATGACCACCAGGAATTCAAATTCGACAAACTTCCGGCACGCTTTTAATTATTCCAATTATCGAGTGCAAATTTTTTGCTTCACTTCGCGGTGATACAAAATTGTCAGATACCGCGTATCAGAAAGCTTCCTTTACACATTTTGACGGAAGCTCAAGAGACCAGGAAATATTTCAACGGTTTGCGGTGTTTGACCTTTCAAGGGTAGCAACTTTCAGTATGTGACGTTGAAGTAAAATCGTCAATTAGTCTTTGTCTCCTGTGCCGCCAAATCGCGGAGACTTCCGACTTAACGGTGGCATATTAAAATCCTTTTCGCCGTTTCTCCAGTGAGGCGTGAAGCGACGCCATGAAACGCACTTTCACATTTTAAATTGCCTCATTATCTTCCATAAATAATTAATTAATGTATGTCTAGGTTAATGCTGTTATAGCAAACACAATTAAGTAATAATTACTTAGAAGACGTTACACAATTTCGAGTGAACTATGATGAAGTACACTCTATATTTTTTTTTAGCGCTTTGTTGATCTAGCGACTAAAATATTAACATAGACAACATCCGTCATTTTAATAAAACAATAAATATGGGTAAAAAGATGTCGTTAATATAACACGCGTTTGATATTAAATTCCTTCGTTCAAGTTTTCAAGTGTAGTCATGTATACGTTATAGAAAGAGCTTTGAAAGACCTACGCTTATAAGGAAAGGACACATGAATTCATAGCTAGTACCTATGAAATATCACGTAGGTATAAAAGTGAAAAACAAATGAACATGGTACGGAGCTAATTACATGGTCGCTTACACCGCACTGCGATTTGGATCGTTGCTACATGAGCTGACTCCATTCAATGACAGATCTCATTAAGATAATGTATGGCTGCCCTCAAATGCTAACAATTTATTTATAGATTATTACGATATTGCATTTGCATATAGGCAGGTCGGCAAACAAAATATAAATAAGTAAATACTGTCTGTAATTTACACGTTGTTGTTTCATATATAATAAAACACTAACGATTTAAAACGCGATATATATAAGTTTAACTAATTTGAAATTTATTTTAACTACGGTGTACTAGTCTCCCCGTGACCACAGCTGCTGCACAGTATCCGAAACGTCAGGCCGTAGTTAAAATAAGTTTCAAATAGGTTTAACTAGTATTTATCGCGTTTTAAACCATTAAAGTGATTTATTTAAATAAGTAAATAGTAATTATTTTGATTTTAATAATTTTCTTAAAAAAACATTACGTTATACTTGTTTTTAAATTTCGTGCTCACTTTGTAATTCAATACTAACTTGCCTTTTATCAGTGCTACCTCCGCAGGCCAAGTAATTGGATATTGAATTACACACAGAATTACTCGACAACAATTTCGGAAGCACTTATTCAATTTGATTCGGGGAGTTATCGTGCGAAAGCTGTGGATAGAGAAATTCTAAAGAAATAGTTCTCTTGCATTTGACCACTTACAAACCTCGTTTGCTTTCAAAAAGCTTTAAATTATTCCTTCAAATATTTCAATCACTTCAATAGCTCCGTCCAGATCTCTTTACGTATAGAGCAAATAATTAAGTTGTCGCAGCGGGGCGGGTCTTCGAATAGTCCCAAAATTAGTATCAAGTGAAGATAGCGTCTATCATTGATACGAGGTATATAATAATTAGCATAATGCAGCTATTTCCCCACTCGTATGAGCGCGTTACGTGAGCGCGTTGCAGAACCGCCTTGCGACACCACCTCGGGCTGCCCGCTGGCCATTACCCCTTGCGCGTAATGCTAGAGGAAAAAAGCAATTACTTGGAAAGTCACTTATCTCTACTGGCTACCACAGCGTGTTAGTTCGACTGAAGGTAACTTTGTGGAGATGGAGAGTACTAGAAATGTCTCTGGCCTGGGTATCAACTATTAAATCCAATTAAAGCTAACGCGGTCTCGACAATACTACGTCAGTGAATCTGTCTCGTTGACTGCAGTAAGTGCATCTATGCTATGCGTGCGTGACGATTTCGTTTTCTTCGAGATCGTTCTGTCAGCAGTTCTGCGATCGACCACCTCCCTCCATCTCCCAACGAAAGCAGGAAGAAATTGGACATATTTAAAATTCTATATTTTTCTAATTAACTTAGTGTGC